GAAAACAAAACAGCGAATTATTTATAATGAAAACCACTCGGTATGTGAAAAGCCGTTTCTACTAGTCATTTTAAAACAATAACCCAAAACGAGGGTTTTTGACACATCTTTTTTATAAAAACCATGCCATTTCACAGGGAAGCAATTTTTACGCACTCGAACCTTGAAATTCGTACTCAGCGTTGAATTTTGCGTCTGAATATGTGTTTTCCACCTATTTTAGAAGGAAAAAAAAATTTCGCTACGGGTTTTTTGGGCCTCTTTTTTTTCTTGTTTCTTAAATTGTGAGCCCCTGCCGCATATTTGCTTAGATTTTTTTTGTGGATTTTGTTGCTCGCGTGCCCAGGAAGTTTTTGGCGAAAGAACGTTTTGGTTCATGGTTTGGACGGTATTCTTCGTTTTAACTCTTTGAGCAGTATTTAGAGCAAAAGTGCCTTTTGGGTTTTAAATTACCTCCAGTTTTGAACTGAGCAGACATAGACGAGGCTCAACATATCTTTTCTGAAAGAGCGAGGAAAATTGAGCGAAATGGTATGTGAAAGGACCTCGAAGGATGTTTACTCAAAGAAATATTGAAGGAACATTGAGTGTTGCTTTTCGGTATCTCATTTTTTAGTTTAAGCGTAACTTTGCGAGGGAAGGTCCTCTTCGCCTGGGGGACCTCTCGAAAGACGCGCCTCAAAATTCTGCACAAGATTATGATCGATGAGACAGAAAATAAGAACTTTATCTTATCCGGCGGTGTCCTTTATCTATCGATTTTGTAGAAAATGATTGCGGGCTTACTCCTAAAAGTTCTGCCGAAAGATTAATTTCAACTAATTTCGAGGATGAAAAACTAGATTATACTACTTATGGTATTAAAATGCCTTTTTCGGATGGAAAAACGTAGATTCTATTACAAAAATTTACTTTAAACTAGTTTGTGCTTCGAAATTCGTCTCTCGATTTTGCTGAAACTGATTCCTGAAACTTTTACCTTAAAAATTAGTTTTGAACAGTTCCGAGAACGAAAAACTAGATTTAAGTGATTTTTGTAAACGAAGCTACTTTTTCCATCCGAAAAAAGCATTTTAATGCAAAAAGTACTTTAAACTAGTTTGTGCCGCCAAATCGGTTCCTCTATTTTGCACAAAATGATAGCCAGGCACCCTTAAATATTTTGACTAAAACTTAGTTTTAAATAGTATAGGGAATCAAAATCTAGTTTAAAGTACTTTTAGTGTTAAAATGCCTTTTTCGGATGGAAAAAGTAGTTTCGCTTACAAAGAAGTACCGTAAACTAGTTTTTGGTTCTCAAAACTATTTTTAGGCAAATTTTTCAGGAGTCATTATCTGTAAAATCGAGAGACGAATTTCGAAGGACAAACTAGTTTAAAGTACTTTTTGGTAAGCGAAACTACTTTTTCCATCCGAAAAAAAGCATTTTAATGCCAAAAGTACTTTAAACTAGTTTCTGCCTCCCAATTCGTCACTCGGTTTTGCTCACATTGGCTCCCGAAAATTCTGCCTGAAAATTAGTTTGAACTAGTTTCGAAAATGAAAAATTAGTTTAAAGTATTTTCCATATTAAAGTGTCTTTTTCGGTTGGAAAAACTAGTTTTGCTTACAGAAATTACTTTAAACTAGTATGTGCCTCCCAATTCGTCCCTCGATTTTGCTCACATCCACTCTTGAAAATCCTGCCTAAGTTTAGTTTAAACTAGTTTCGAGAATGAATAACTAGATTAAAGTACTTTTTGGCATTAAAATGTCTTTTTTGGATGGAAAACTAGTTTTGCTTACTAAAAAGTAATTTAATCTAGTTTGTGCCGCCAATTTCGTTCATGTTATGTTTTTCCATGATTTCCCAAGGCCAACATCTTGAAGACACAAAATCTACGGATAATTGTGAACCATTTCTTTGTTAAAAAGGTGATTTCTGTTCTTTTTCTGTTTTGAAATGGATAGTACTACAGCACGACCTAGTAAATTCAACTTAGCTTCTCCAACATGACTATTTTTTTTGAGAATACTGCAAATTGATGCGGTCAATTTGCATTGAATAGCGCATGAACGAGGTATATAACTGATTTCGTTGTTGTGAGAAGCGTTTTAATATACGTCGAAAACGTTGCAGCCTTACGCTAAGGGTCGGCCATGAGTAGAATTATTCTTCCTTGATTCTCTTTTTTTACAAATCATTCAGAATATGCTCGAGCTTAAACAATCCATATACTTCACCTTAACCAACAGTCGTTCTCAGTAGAAGACATCAAGTCACTTTCAGAGTATTTATCATCGTGTTGGAGTTGTCAATGGGTATCGTTGATCGAATCTGGAATAGACGATGACAAAACCTTTTACATTGCCGCTCTATTGAAGAACAATAAAACACTCAAACGTCTAAATCTGAGCAAAAACAATATTGGTGATAGAGGCTTCGGCTACCTAGGTGGCGTTTTACTCCATTACAATGAAACACTTGAGTATTTGAATCTATCGGATAACAGTATCACGGATATGAGTGTTAGTGACGCGGTTGCAGTCATCAAGAAGAAAGGACAACTGCACTCTCTGTAAGAACCATACACATGTTACGTGAGCAAGGTTAGAGGGTAACAGGAGAAATCGAAAAGTTGCATTTGCTCAATGACGGTAAAGAAGGGGGATCGGATCGAGTACACATTCGCCAGCATAATGAAGCTAATTTTAAATAACGTGTAATAAAAAACAAGCTAATTCTCTTCTACACAGTTAAAATTCTCTGTTTTGCCAGATTTTTAAAAGACAAGCTAGAGAACATGTACATGTTCAGAGTAAAACACTTAGAAACTAAGAACACAACGGCACACTAAGCGAAAAAACTAAGCGAAGCCTAGTTATATACTCTAGAAAAGCTTTAAATTATCAAGAATCATGCTAGACACAGCCTTCTCTTCGAAAAAATTGCTGCTGTTCAAAAGCGCACGGATGATCCACATGTGGAATAGCTTGTAAATGTATTACGATTATTCGTATAAAACAACGAGCAATTACTTGCGTCGTACCCATAGTGTATAGAGAAATAATTTTATGCCGCAGATATTTGATCTTCCCACAATGATATGGACCTAAATAAGTTGAATGATAGTCAATACGTGAATCAATTTGACCAGGAACATGCGAATAAAATATGCATTGGTTTTCAAAAAGTGAGAGAAAAGCACATCTGCTAGGACTACAGTGTGAATAGGATAAAGTAAATTGTCTTTTGTAGTTGCAACGTGATGGATGGTGATTCTAGAGTCTAAACAGAAAAAAGGAATATGCGTAATAATTTGAAGCAGAACGTATACAAATTACATTCATTATTTTAAAAGTAAGATTCTCAAAAACGAAACTGACCACTACCGCATATATTCAGATAAGAATATAATGTACACAGAATTTTGCTAATAAAACTTTCAAAAGAAAGTAACTCCTTTTAGCAGGGGGATTATTTTTGCATATCTCGAAAGCTTTTGGGCTCTAAAAGAAAAACTGTTTTACAAGGTTTCAAATAGTCAAGTACTTCTCAACTGCTAAAAAAGCTGTGGTCGCAATCCGTGTGGGATCAAAAAGTTGAACACGATAAAAATGTTTTGATAATCTGAGAGGCATAGTATAATTCTGTTTGTTCTCGAACCCATCTTTACATCATTCTTTAACTTTCTTTTACTTAGTACAGTACAGTATGTTGTAATTTCGAAACAATGTCTGTTACAGTCTGTTATGGGTCGTTGGTAAAGTATCTGTAGCGACAAGCGACGAAGGAAGCCATTGCTAAAATGTCTGATACAGCCTGTAACATTCCAAGGTAATATGTATCACGGTCTTGAGGGAGAGGGGATTTCGACCCGTCCGTCAACCGGATTTCGACGAAATCATACAGGATGCTATCGGATTTCGCAGGATTCCGATGGGTTCATACAGGGTCTGATAAGATCCGACTGTAGGATTGATCGAGCTGGGTAGCGGTTCCACTTATTTAGGTCTTAAACTCAGATCTAAAATGCTCTCACCATGTTTTACCTAACATATTCATAACATATACCAACTACATCTTTTTTTCTCGTGAAGAAATTAGGCAACATGACACACGTCTAATGTCATTTTTGAAGTGACATTTCGCGCTAGTACGTACGATTCTTTTTCGAATAAAGTATTTGGAATTGGAGGAAGCATTCGACCATCATAGTGTTGAATTCTGTGAGTGCGATCTTCTTCTTGTAGGATGTAAATACCCCTATCCTAAAATATAAATAACACAACCTCAGTTATCAGCATTAAATCCCGGAAATCTTTTACAATAGCTTGACTCCCAGGGAAATCTAGCCAAACATGATCTTTTGGCCGGTAACTAGAATGAAAACAAATTTGAATGCATATTTTTCGCAGAATTATTTCCTACCTCAAAGCCCAATTCAAAGAAAGGCGGTGTCGATATTCTCGGAAGAGCCATTCAGTATTGGTTTTTTCTTCCTCTGTGAACGTCGTTCCATTGAAGAAAGAGACATCAACATACTCGGCCAATGTTCGTAGGTGGTCTGGTTGATTAAGACGAACGTTAGCTCTCACGTCTTCACCGAAGTGTCGCCTTTGGTTGCGCTCCTTTTTTTGTATGAGACCAGTGACAAGAGGAAGAACACCATTTGTCCGGTATATAGCCGCAACTTTTTGATAAATCGGCATAGCATCGCCGGCTCGATTGTTGATCTCGTTGTGAATCTGCTGCATTGGTGGATGTAATGCAATCGGTTGAGCATTCTGTGATGTTGCTAGTTGTCGCAGTTGTTGCAAAACAGGCCACTGTTGATAGCGGTAGACTGGACTCCATTGTTGTTGCGAAAGAAATCTACCAGTCAATTCATCCGTCGCTGAAGTATATATATCAGCCATGAGATCCGCTTTCAAATCGTTTAGGATATTTTGCTGAATCGTAGTGTATATGGTATGAAAGCGATTCGAGAGGACCTTTACATTGTTGGTTACTAGTAGACGTTGTTTGATATTCGGAACAAAATTAAGAGTGTTATCCAAGTTGTTCAAAGCTGCTGTCAGCAGTAATGGATCGAGTACCATGGAATCCAATACGATATTTCTTTCTAATCTGGTGTGTAATGCATCTCCAGGATTAATTTGTAAGTTGTGGGCATAATTCAAAATCCCAGTTGTTGTATTGACTAATGCATCCAAAAACTGTGTTTCGAAAAGTGCTCTGTATTCAGTCAAGTAATTCATACTTTGAGAAAGCAATACCTATAAAAGTTTCTTTGTTCAATTCACTAAGGCAATTATATGATTATTAGATATGTACTCAACACAGTCCTAGCAGACTTTTACATACATGGCCCATGAGGTTTTTTTCTATAAAATATCGCGATTAGAGACGATATTTTATATCTTATGTCTCGGTAGGCCTTAACTCTATCGAGACACCACGTTAAATCGCTATGAAAAAGATTATCGCGATATATCATGCAGAATAAAGTTATCGGTTTCTGTCACGATGAAATTTTTATCGAAATAAAGTCTCTGTTATTGCGATAAAACATCTTATCGAGATGGAAAGTGAAACCTTTATATCGCTCGATATGTCGCGATAAAGTTCTGTGTGGCGGTCTAACGTGGCGTCTCGATAGATTTAAACCCTATTGAGATATAAAAACTGTCGAGAACTATGACGATTACTAATTTTATCGCTGTATAGTCGATACCATTATCATGCTGCAATGTATCCTACATAATCAACAATTAGCGGTTTTTCATAAAATAATTTATTACATTCTATCAATGTTTTAGGAGACGCAATGCTGTGTAAAACAGTACGATTATTAACTTTTCGACCAAGCTATAGGTAGATGTGGTAAGAGATGCCAGAATAGCTAGAATAGACTGCTTATTAACTTCAGCATCAAACTTGACGGATCACATCTTACCAGTCTTATCTTCGGGATGTGACCCGTCGAAGTCATAATGTAAGTCGTCGTTGAATAAACAAAATGTATTTGAAAGTAAGCAATAAACAAAAGTAACACTGAAAACAAAGAAAGTAAACAGAAAATCTGAGTTTTTTCAAAGAAAAACATCGCTAAAGCACTTCTAAATGCACTCGGCGATGAAAAGACAAAGAAGTTTCGTTCCGTACTGGCTGTACGAAACTCGACCGGTTTTTTTTTCAGTACAGTTTATATAAAAAAGGAACTTTATAGAAAACCAAACTGAAGAAAATGTGTAAAAATTATAAGTCGTGAAGTTATTGCTATCTTTTGGAAGGCATCGTCCACTTAAAATTCATTCACAAGAAATTATTTCGATCGGCATAGCATCTGAGATATGTATGTCAGTTAAAATAAATAAAAAAATGAAAATCTGATTGTTTTATTTGGGAAAGAACTCATTCTGAGATTCTCTTCACAGTCAACATACTTAGCTGAATCTACACATGGGAGAAGACTTTAGATTTGAAGCGTCATCTGAGGGTGGATATTCTCCCTCGATTTTAAGACTGTCACAAAGAAAATAGTTCAACTTTGAGATAAAAAAATAACTGGTTTCTTCTATAGGAAATTGCTGTGTACTTACCAATGACAACAGTCAAATAGCTAGAGGCAGTTGGATCGATTAACTACAACAAAACAAAATAAACACGGGCAGAAAACACTCTTTGCGTGTTATTATGTTATTCATCACTCAAAGGAAGTGAATAAAGTTTGAACGAAATGCTCTTTGCATCCTTGCAAAAAGGAAAGAAATGACTACTTGAATTGTATTGTATATCTATTAATATAAGGTGCCGGTAATTCAAAAGGTTCGTGCCAAAAATGAATCTTATCGAGTTATACATGGTTAGATAGAGCTCGTCGAGCTGATCACGAATATCACCTTTGAGACCTTTAAAAGTTTTTTCCTCGGTTGAAAAGTTTGAAAAACGGGAAAATCGAAAAAACCGACCGTTTTCGAAAAGTGAATCTTTTCACCTGTTTTCGAACGTCGAAAAAATTTCTTTTTTCCATATTCGAATTCAGCACAAAAAGTTGAATATATTCGACTACCTTTGAAAAATTTTCAGCTAAATTCCACGGCCGTCCGAGGATGAAAAGTCAAAATTGAGTCATGTACCTGGCAGAATTATCTAGTCCCTGGTTTTTAGAGGAAACCTCTACTATAATACACCATTCGAATCGCCGTTCAACGGGCTACAAACTAATGGACGCCTTTTTCCAAAAATATTTTTTCCCTTTCGACAACTCGCACTTCTTACATG